CGCTCCTCCTCGGAGCAGCCGCAGGTCGCCATGGACACTCTCGCGGCCAACAGCTCCTCCAGAACGGTGCTGGAGTCCCTGAAGCGCTACAGGTTCGGGAAGGAGGCGGTGGGGGAGAGGTACAAACACAAGGAGAAGCACAGGTGCCACATGGCGTGCCCGCACCTGTCGCCCTCGAAGGGTTTGCTGAGCAGAGACGAGCAGTGGGTCAGGAGGGAGCCTCCCGAGTCCAATTCCCTGGCGCTGGGCTTGCAGACCCCGCTGCAGATCGACTGCTCCGACAGCTCCCCGGCCCTGTCCCTGGGGGGGTTCACGCCCGGCTCGGAGCCCCCCGGCGCCGAGGAGCACACCAACCTTTTCACAAGTGCAATAGGCAGCTGCCGAGCGCCCGGCCCCGCCGGCACCGCCGCCGCCGCCGCCGGCACCGCGCGCAAGAAGCTGCCCGAGAGCCCCGCGCTGTTCGGCGGCCAGGACGCGCCGCTCGGCCGGCCCCTCCGCAAGGAGCCCTCCCTGGAGAAGGCCCTGCAGCCCCTCTCAGGTAAGGGAGCCCTGGGATTGTTTTGCTGCCGGGCTTGGCTGGGTTTTGTTGCACCAAACTGGGGGGGGGGGGGCAGGCAGAGTTTTGGCTCATTTGGTGAGCTCTGCGAGTGAGCTGACACAGATCTGCCCCTGGGGCACTGTGTGTGTGTGTTTGTGTCCCTCTTCCCAACAGACTCCTCTTGCTTCCTTGCCCTCGGGCTGAGGATGCTTCCTCACGGAGAGCTCTTTGCTTTTTCCCTAATATTTTAACTTCCTGGAGAAACGAGGTGGAATCTCTCCCGATTTTTTTTTTTTTTTGACACTTCCAAAGCCGTGGTTCTGCTTGGTTTGGAGTTGGGTGGGTTTGGTTTAGAGCAGCTGTTGGTGGCTACTGTTGCGGCATTTCCATCTGAGAAAATGTTGCCTATTCCTTTGGTAACTCCATTTTAAGTTATTTTGGATAATCTCTGCCGCACCACAGCTTTTGAGCTCCTGGGGATGATACTGGGGGTGCCTGAGACCAGACCTTGAAATTTTGCAGTGCTCCCACTCAGATGCCTCCTGCCCACCTCTGTGTGGCAGTGAGGGGTTTCTCTTGGGTTTATTTTGGCTTTTGAGGGATTTATGTTTTATTTTGAGGGGCGCAGCTGCATCTTGGGCAAGTTCACTTTGCTTTGTGCTGTTCCCTGGCACTGGAGCTACTGGAGGTGGTGCTGGGGAGTGTGGAGAAGGAGGAGATGATTGGAAAGAGAAATTCCAAGTGCTGGGTCACCAGAAGGGTTAAATTGGATCTGTGGGATCCCTGGAGGATATTTATTTCAGAGCATCCCACATGAAAACCTGCCTCACCTCCAGAGCCTCGTGAACATCAGCCTGGCCTGGCTGGACGAGCAGATGCTTTTTGTGGTGTTGGCTGATGCCAGAAATCTTCAGATGGGCTGAGTTAGAGACGGGTTGTGTCAGTTGTTTGGGCAGACGAGGCTGCAGCAGAGGTTGGGGTGTCCTGGGGGGTGAAGAGCAGGTGGAACTTTCCACCTTTAGGGCTGTTTTTAGGACACTGTAGGACACTGTTGCCTGTTCCCCCCCGAGTTCCAGGGGCTGCTGCTGCGCTTCTGCAGACACCAGGCCGGGTGTGAGGTGACACAGCCCGGGCTGGGGCGGGTACAGGTGCCCTTAGGTCAGTCCCCATGGGATAACCGGCACTGTCAGGAACTGCCGTGGTCGGGCACGACCCTCTGGGCTCTCAGGGTGACCCCAGGGGTCCCAGCTGGTGTTGGGTCGCTGACCTGAAGGCTCCTGGTAGTCCCTGTCCCAGGAGGTCCTGGTGGTCCTTGTCCCAGGGTGTCCTGGTGTTCCTGACCTGGGGGGTCCTGGTGGTCCCTGTCCCAAGGTATCCCAGTGTCGCTGTCCCGATGTCACTGTCCTGAGGGATTCCAGTATCCCTGTCCTGGTGTCCCAGTATCCATGTCCCAGTGGTTCCTGTCCTGGTATCCCTGTCCTGAGGGATCCCGGTATCCCTGTCCCAGTGTCCCTGTCCCGTGTCCCTGTCCCAGTATCCCTGTCCCAGTGTCCCTATCCTGTGTCCCTGTCCCAGTGTCCCTGTCCCGTGTCCCTGTCCCAGTGTCCCTGTCCGTGTCACTGTCCCAGTGTCCCTGTCCCAGTGTCCCTGTCCGTGTCCCTATCCCAGTATCCCTGTCCCATGTCCATGTCCCAGAGTCCCTGTCCCGTGTCCCTGTCCGTGTCCCTCTGGTCTCATTCCCTTGTCCCTGTCCCAGTGTCCCTGTCCCGGTATCCCTGTCCGTGTCCCTCTGGTCCCATTCCCGTGTCCCTGTCCCGTGTCCCTGTCCCGTGTCCCTGTCCCTGTATCCCTATCCCAGTGTATCCCTATCCCTGTATCCCTCTCCGTGTCCCTCCGGTCCCGTTCCCGGTCCCTCCCCCGGGACGGGTGGGAAGCAGCGCCCCCTGGCGGCCCCGCCGCTGCTCCGCCGTGTCCCGATCGGGGCGGGGGACACTGAGCAGGGCAGGGGACACTGAGCAGGGCAGGGGACACTGAGAGCAGGGCAGGGGACACTGAGAGCAGGGCGGGGGACACTGAGCAGGTCAGGGGACACTGAGAGCAGGGCAGGGGACACTGAGAGCAGGTGGGGGACACTGAGAGCAGGTGGGGGACACTGAGAGCAGGAC